TGCACAGTCAGTGGCTCAGCACAGAGGCCTCAATTGGGCCCCTGCCCCTTCCCTCCCCCACAAATTGACCTGCTGGTGTTGGGGGCGGGGGGCGGGTGTGTGCATGCTTTCACACCCAGTTCTCCCCCAGCCCAAGATCAACCAAAAGTGGCTCCAGGATCGATGGGTTGGTGACCACTGCTCTACTCTGCTGCTGGTTTAGGAGCTTTTATTCCTTCCTTAGCAGAATAATTGTGTATTTACTATGTACACTCACTGCCAGGCTGGCAGTAGAAAAGGGAAAACACACAATTATAAGGGTTTGTAAGGACATAACAGCACAACAGTATTGGCTCAAGTACAGTTCACTGAACAGGATCCAGTTTGTAATGGAATCCTTATATCAGTTCTGTCAAAACAGTTGCAAACCAGACAGATATGGGGGACTTGATTGTTTCATAGTCTGAATAGAATGTGTCAGGCTAATAACAGTAGGGAAAACACTGTAAAAATGATTCCTCAAAACTTGGGTTAAGTTCTTAAATAAAGAGGATGTGATGGGGTTGTGGAGGCCATCACTTACCTTCACCCAGGAGTATTGGAGATGCTATTCTTGGTTCAGAGCCATGAGATCCTGAATTTTCAGGAATAGCAATGACTGTGTCGGTGAGTTCAAATCCTGAATTATAATGGCCTGTTTTGTTCCAGAGAAGCCCTTTGACCCCTCCTCTTTCCTTATCCATGCTGTCTCCAACGTCATCTGTTCTGTCGTCTTTGGAGACCGGTTTGACTATGAAGACAAAAAATTTCTGACTTTGATTGATCTGTTAGAGGAAAATAACAAACTCCAGATCTCATTCTGGGTGCAGGTATGTCTGGAGTTGATTTTATTTATTGAAGGACTATTCTGCTTTCAGGGGAGACTTTTGAAGGCCAGAAAGCCCATTAACTGCCCAATTCTCATTGAAAGTATAATTGTCTTTTGCATCCTCTTTAAATAATTGCCATTCCATGTTGAAAGGGGAGTATCTTAGCAATCATACCAGAAATTTACAGAGGGGTGGGGGTTGTGGATTACACTCAGCAAGTAAAGTCTGTAAAGTGATTTAAAAACCAGTTGGATACTAAGGTGCCATTTAAGGCTGGTCATCATTATTGTTTCATGCTGGTGTAATCAGCTCCTTCTTGTTATCTCCATAGATGTGTATACACAACATAGTTATGGAATAATTTACTACAGATTTTACTCCATAATAAATTTATTCTGTGACACTAGGGGTGGATCCATGGGCATGATCGCACCCCACTTCAACAGTGTAACTCACCTGCTAGTAAATCTAGTTCTTGGTAGTTACAGATCCCCTGGAGAATACTAGGCATGGCTGGAACCCTGGGCTGGTGGGTGATACCCAGGGGGACCAAGGAGGGAGCAGGTGAGGAAAGGGGAAGACTTACCTGCAGCTGCTGTTCTTGGCTGACCGGAGGTGAGGAAAGTCCCAGGCTGCTTGTGTCCCACTACAGTCAGGGGCTGCTGTGAGTGTTTGCACAGGGTGCTAGGTTGAGCAGCAGCTGCAGCAGGCAAATCCCTGGTCTCTGATCTCCACCTCAGAGATCTGATACCCAGAGATAGATCTCCACCTCAGTTTGGGGGCTTCAACTGCAGAAAGCAGCTGTGGGTGGTATCTGGCTGTGCCAGGACAGAGGCATTGGTGCATGGCCTGCTCCTGGCCAATGATACACACCTGGGTGAACAGGGTACAGAGCAATTGTGCCTTGGATTAACCAAACTCCCTATGAAAGTAAAATGCACTGTGTGTTAATACCCTCAGAATGGACTTCTTGGGCGCATCCAGATGAGTGCGCACGTGCCTCTTGCTCTGTCTCAAACCCCTTTGAGACAGGGCAATAGGCACGTGCAGGAATGAAAAAAACGTTCCCCGTGCTGCAAGTTTGCAGCGTGGGGAGAAAATTAGACCCCTGGATATCCAGGGGTCTAAAAAAAATCAAAGTTTAAAAAAGTGGATCATGCCCTGAGGCAACTGGAGGCTGGGTCCTCCACGGAGATGCTCTGGCTGCCAGAGCGTCTCTGTGGTTGGCCTATCGCCCGGCTGCTGAAACGGGCGGCTGGCCAGGCCACGTGTTCAGCACCAGGGCTTCAGTGCTGGTGAGTAAGGGCTCAGGGGGGCTGGAGGTGATAGGAGGGGACCATGAGGGGTATGCCCACTCCCCCAGCCCCCCCAACCCCTGCCCTGCCTGATCCATCC